GCGGCCGCCGCCGCGCCCGCCCCACCCCGGCCTTTTATAGCCGCGGGCCGTCCGCGGCCCCAGCCGGGCGGCTTTGCATTTCAAAGCGGGGGGAAGCCTCGGGGCCGCGAATCAAAGGGGGAAGCCCGTCGGGCGAAGGGGTTCAAAAGGAGACAAATTGCCGCCCTAAGCAGGAGGTGGATGAGCCTGGGGGCTGGGGACCCAGAGAGCGCGGCCTGGGTGAGGGTCCAGGCTTCGCTTCAGGTTCCGACTCCTCCTTCGGTGGTCGCGGGGACCTCCCCATCACCAACCCTGGGTTACAGGTGGAGAAACTGGCTCCGAGGGGCGTGGGGGAGGACCCTAGGCCAGCCTCACACAGCACAAGGAGCCTGTGGCGCTGTCAGCAGTGACCACCAGCTAGAGGTGAGGGGGAGAGTAAGACTGACTTCAAACAGGGTTCCGTCTGTAAGGTAGAGAGCGTCTGGGGGGGGGGGGCCGGGGTCACGACCTCTCGGGTCCCAGATGAAAGCTGTGGAGAATGTGCATATGCAGATAGCCTGTCTGCATGCTACTGAGTGTGTTTCCCTTGGTGGCTCCAAAGAGAGATTTCTCAAAGGTGTAGGCTATTTCTGGGGACACCTTGGGAAACTTCACAAGCTCTCCCTGGCTCCTTACCTTTCCTTATTATCGTTTTTGGTTGAGATGCTTCAGACATACACGAATGCAGAGTTTTATCATGAACCCACTATGCAGCTTCCATAATTATCAGGTTTCTGTCACTTTTTTTCCCCATCGACTGCCTTTTTCCCAAAGCATTTTAAAACAAATTTCAGGCTTCATGTCATTTTACCCCTACACATGTCAGCCTGATTCTCTAAAATACATGGACAAATTCCTGAGTATTTATTGTCTAATGCAGTTTATAGCCAATGCACTCCAACTGATTGGGAAAAAGTGTGTTTTTACAGTTGACTTGATGAATCCTCATTGGTTACGGGTGGGGCCCCGCTGGCATTTTAAACGTCTGTGTGTGGTGTGTTCTTTCTTACTCCATTGAAAACAGGCAGACAACCCACAGCTGCTTGAACAGGAAAGGGGATCATTGAGACTGGTAGTGGGGGGCATGGCTGAGGGATTGGGCAAGGATTCAGAAAAGATGTCTCTGGGTCAAGAAGGCCAGAGTAGATGAGGACCCATCTGCATGGCGTTCGGGGCCAGAGAGGGAACAGTGCAAAAGAGTCCTCTGAGAGTTGATCTCTCCTGTTCTAGCGCCACGAGATGTGCAGGTTGCGTGAACCCTCAAAGGAAGGCAGAACCAGGTCTTAGCTGTTAATGCTTTCTTTCTCTTCACAGGACCAGGTAGCATCCCTTCAGGGTAGGCAGGTAAGCCAAGGTCACACTGCAGTTTGCTGGAGGATCCAGTGCAAAATGAACATGCCAGATCTGTTGTTCAAAACTAACCTAAAATTTCATGGTAGTGGGATTCAGTCAAGCACGTGATCCTTTGAAACTGAACCCTGTGTGACTGTACAGACGACTGGCCGGAGAAGGCGTCCCTGATCAGAATCACACTCAACTAGCAGTAAGCCTAGCGGTTCTTTTCCTGCTCCAGGGAAACTGCAGGGAGGTCCAGGGAGGAAAAGGAAAACTCTGTTCATGCTTCATAACGAAGGCTGAGTGTATAACAGTGGAGCTGTCTCAGCAGGGGAGGCCACCACATACCCACATCTAACGTGGGTTAGAAGACATCTGACATTCAGGGCTCTATGAGAGCCCAACCGAGAGATACACCGGGAGGGGGTGGGAGTGGAAGAGGAAGCCTGGGAGTGGGGAATTTTTCTCTCAGCTGGGACAACCAGGGCTGCTTCTATTGTGGGAAGTGAAGGCCTGGCAGGGAGGGCGGGGACCTGAGGGCGGGAAAACTGCAGGTGTGGAGCCTGACCTACCTGTCCAGAAGGAAGTGCTCACGATAGGTTAGCATGAAGTGGGGGTTGCAGAGAGTGAGTTTGCCACCAACGGGAGTGCACAAGGGATTGCTGGACACCTCCAGCAAGGGATCTCATTCTGGTGAGGGCCTCTAATCCCGAGTATTGCAGTTCACACCTAGTCAAGAGGCTTTGCATTTGAAATTAGAAATTCACTGGTTTCTATATTCATTCATTTGACAGGTACAGGCTGACCTACATACCTGTGCTGACACCGTGCTCAGAGGGCCTTCAGTGCTGGGGGCCAGGCATGTTCAATGTTCACAGGGAAGGGGATGTTACATCTTGTTTCTGGGCAGGAACAGAGGGCTAAAGAACTCTTGCAGAAGGAGATGGGGGGGAGGGCTGGTGAGTGGGGGAGGGCACTGTCGTCCAAGTACAAACAGAGGCCCCGAGGGCTTGAGGAATATTCCCCTAGTGCTGATAACCCAGTCTTGAGTGGGGAGCAGGGGGCCGTCTGAGAGCCCCACCTGATGCCTCGCACCTGGAGAGGGATCCTGAGTGGCTGAGGCATTGCCAGGATTTGGTAGTGGCTTAGGGGTAGGTCAGAGTAGTAGGGGAGGATGGCAGGGAAGAGCCGCCCGTCCGGGCCCCCGGGGGGGGGGGGGTGGACGTCCTTCCCACTCGGCAGGCATTCCTGGGGTGCACCATCCTTCCTGAGTATTCTGAGTATTCGCTGCCTCTCTCCGAAGTGGCAGGCTGGCTTGTGACAGTGGCATTTCTACGCACTGAGCAGGTGCTAAGAGTGAGGTCTCACCGCACATCACTTCCACCCATACCCATCCTCACCACCTTCCAGGGAAATGGAGGTGACTGTTACCCTCGCTTTCTCTTTCAGATTAACATATGGATTCAGAGAGGTAAAGTCACCTTCCCTGGGGTCACATAGCAAGTCAATGACCTATTTGGCAGTTTTTTTTTCCTCCTCTCTAGAGATGGTTGACTGCTAAGCACAGAGAATGACCCCGCATGTGTGTCTACCTCCCCACCCACCCCACGACCTGATAGCTGGATTTTGCTTAAACAAATTGCTGATTCCTCTTCCTCCTCAGGCTTCTTCATGCAAAAGAGCTTCTAGGCTCCCCTCACCCTCTCCCCTGGTGGACCCCCTCGTCAGTCAGAGGTTTTAGCATCATGGATGTGGCTCCCCCCAGTTCCATAACGAAAGATATCATAACCTTATTTAAAAGCCCCAATCTGAAACTGTAGCGCCCATACCTCCACCTCTGACTTGCCATCTGACCTCAAGACCCTGGGCCCCAGTCTCCCATGTGCCCACCGGGACTGGTAGTAGCAGATGGCAATACCGCTGTGCAATGGTCCCCGCCTATCCTAAACCAGCCTCTTCCTTTGGGAAGCCCCCTTATCTCTGGGTGTGACTGTTTATTGGGCCCCTCCTTCTTCCCTCTTCCCTCTGGAAGCTCTCACTCCGGGCTGCTCTCACACCCAGGGCCTCATGGGGTGGGGTGCTCTGATGAAGGCCTCATAAAGATCTCACTGATAACTTGGTTTATGGTTCTGAAAGAGAAAGGTTTGGGTCTCAGTTTCTGCTGAAAATATTTTGCTTAAGAGAAACTGGCAGCACCAGGGTCAGTGTCAGACCCACCAGGCTCCCACCCCTCGCCTCCTGAGCCCCTCTCTAGACAGCAGACCAAGGGCCAACCAAGCTTCAACCTTAGCTCTGTGTCCTTGGGCACGTCAATTCCCTTCTCTGGATCCTTGCTTCACCTCGGAAATGGGGGTGGCTGTTCATGTCTCAGAGGTAGAGGTGAACCTCGATGTGCGGACGGGTTCCCTGGAATTATTTTTGTCTTTCAGACCGTCCTGTCTACCCTGGCCAATGCTTCTTCTGCCCCTCTAGAGGTGCGGTCGCCACCTGCTGTCACTCTAGAGCATTACAAGAGGAGTTATCCCTTACTGCCTAATCTCTGGTGACAGAAGCCATTATTACTCTGGGAAACAGAGGCAGCACCCTTCTCCAGACACCCCAGAGACCAAAGGAGACACAAGAGCCAGAGCCCAGAGCAAGCAGAGGCTGTCTTTATCAGAACGGGTCCTGCGCCCATGATGTGCCAGGAACGAAAAATAGGCAAAGAGACTCAGTGGTCAAAGATCAGACAGGACCCAGAAGTTTCCACTCTGGCTCCCAGTTGCCGAAAAGCTCCTCAGCAGGCCAGCCTAGCCTCAAACTCCGCTCTCTACCTGGTCGTGTCCATCCTTAAGTTGCAGTGACTTACTGACCTCAGGGTAAAAGCCAGGCTGCCATAAGCCAACAAGGCCTTCAGGCTGACCCTCAGCTACCTCCCCAGCCTTAATAAGATCTCAGCCTCACCTTTTCTTCTGATCTCCCACTTCAAGGTCTTTCTAGCCTCAGAGATTTTGCAAAGGTTGTTCCCTTTGCTTCAAGCACTGTTCCCATTCATGTGTGAGCTTTCAACCTCAGGTAGGAGTTGAAATATGTCTTCCCCGAAGGAGCTTCTGAGACCCGAACAAGAACTCTCATCTGTCCAACCCAGTATTCTCTGAATCTCTTTTATTGTACCAACCACACATTAGTATTAATGTTGTTTCCTTGATGTTTGCTGGTGAGCTCTGAGGGATCGAGGGGCAGGTCATGTAATAGGTGCCCAGT